TAATTTATAATAATGACAATATATTAATTTAAATTCATAAGGTTTTGGTTTATCGTTTCTTGATAAAAATTATTTAAAAAAAAAACATGAAAACATGAATTTGGTATTTTCATAAAACAATTATCACAGACAAGAATCTAATAACGAAAACAATGAATACGAAAACTATGGAATGGTTGATGGAACCACCATATCATATGTTTTTTATAAAAGAAACAATATAAATATTTCTGTTGTATAATTTTCGAGAAAGTAAATATGAAAATTTTAAAAAGTTAAAAAGATATTTTTAAATGTAAAAAAACTTGCATAAACATTCTTATCGTCGCAAACCCTTCATTTAGACTATCTTAAAAATTTATTATATAATTAAATTCTTAGTTATATTAACTTATTTTATATTCAAAATAATTTAATTTATTTTTTTCTTAAAGTAAACAAACACAAACAAGTATCTAAATTTTATTTGTTAACGTGGAACTAAAACATTTATAAAGATATTATTAAAAAACTTTTAGCAAACTTGTAATAAATAATGTAAGTAATATATTTTTTTTGGTATTTTTTAATGTTTTTGTTATTAGTCTAATGGCATGTTGTGATTTTGCTGGCTTGCTTTCGAAAATGATAAGACATTGCGTTTTTTTTTTTCCTATGCTTCCGTACTAGTGGATGACTTGGTCATGCTGTGCTTGAAGATGTGATATTATGATTTCAACGAGGGAGACCTAAAATTTGGTTTCGAATCCCCGAAACTTGTAAGAGTTTAATTGATGTGCCATCAAAAGTTAACAAATAAAGAATCCATGTCTCATTTTGGACAATTCAGGTGTTTCAGACATACACTACAAAAAAACCAGTTTTTCAGGACGATTTAATAATGGTGGTTCAATTAAACCGCCTTGGATTGTTTAATTTTCCGCGCTCTCTCCGATTACAACTTTGTCTCACTTTCTACTCGCTATACATCTTCTCACTCTCATCTTTCTTGTCTAACTTCTCATCTTTCCATTTCCATTAAATGTTCCCTTAAACAAAAAGGTTCTTTGTTTTCCTCACATTTTCACCATTGTCTTCTTTCATCGCTTAATGAAGATCTTCTTTCTCTGCAGCCATTGCCTCTGAGCAATCCATCAAAGTTAGGCACGCAACACTCATCATTTGACCCCCCCAAAAAAGCGTTACCACCTCCAAGGTAAATTGATTTATATATTTTTTTACCTTTAGATTAGGTTTCCATTTTTGCTGAGAAATTTTGCTATATCTATTCGAATTTGAATCATTCACCTCTCCCATTGTCAATTTTCCTCACCTAGCATACGTTGTGTTGAGTACGAAGGAGATATGGGCGTTTGAAGTTTTAGGTACACTTTTATGCGAAAAAGAATATTCCTGCGAAAAGAATATTTTGTTAGTTGGGGAATATTCTATTAGGGGACATTTCAATAATAAGGGAATGATCTGGTGAGTTTCTGGCAACAAGGGTAGTCCATCTTAAGGTTTTTGGGCGCTTCAGATCTGTTTTTGGGGTCTGTTTTGGCAAATTCCAAGTCTACAGAGCAGTTTGATGAAAGTTGGAGCCTTTGTTTTAATTTGTGAAGTCTGAAAACTACAAGGTGCACTATTTCTAACTCTTAGCTCTGATTAAAATGGATAAATATAGTTCCTTTGATATTATAAAATGCAATCATTTGATGTTATTAAATTTTATGGTTGGAAATTACATGTTCAATTTGGCATGGAAGAACATGAAATATTTCATAATGTATTAAATGATTTTGCATCTACCATTGAAAATATGAATATCAATGGAACAAAGGTGGTGAAAAAAATAGGTATAGCAGGAAGGAAGAGAGAAAGGAGAGGAGAGAGAGAAAGGATGTGGGAGGAATTGAGGAGAAAAAAAGGGAGGAAAAGGGTTTATTTTATTTCGCAAATATGGACCGTTGGATTAGATTGTAATTGAACGGTAATGAAAGGGGTAGGCAAAGGTAGGCAAAATGGGAGTAGGCAGAATAACCTATCCCTATAAAATATTGGGTTCATTTTTTCTGCAGTTACTGCAGATAAATTATATGTAGTAAGCCCAACATGACGTCATTTTGGGACAGAAATCATGTTATTTTTGTAATTTTAATTTATTTCAGGATTATTATAGTCTTTATAATTATAATTTTTAATATTTTAATCCCAAAACAACATCATTTTCAGAGTAAATACAGATAACTTATCTGGAGTAAGTGCATAAATATTTTTCTGTTATATATTTTATCTAAAAATCAAAGTGCTTCACTCATTATATGTCATTAATTGGGTCATATTACTATTTAGTTATTAATTGCGACCGTTTTTTTTTCAATTATTCATTGAAATTTTTCATAAAAGATCAATTCCAAAGGTACGAAGGATATGTCATCACTTTTTGGAAAAAAAAAACTTACTAAAATATCTGATTGGATTCAAGTCAAGTTAAACTCAACCCAACACCATCCGAAATACTCTAATTTATATTTCTTTCTTCTAAAATTGCATGTTTTCTACTTAAAATTTCCAAATAAAATATCCTTAGAAATTAGCCAGGAAGGAAAATATTACACAGCCAAAAAAATTTTGTCAAAATTTTTATTGGAATGAGTTAATATTGTTATTGATTCTTAAATAGACAAATAATCCTCACAACTTTGATTTATTTGCTAAAATATTTCATTTTTTAGGTGTATGCCTTATTTTATTGAACAAGTTTTTAATTTGAAATTATTATATCATAAAAATTAAACTAAATTTAGCATACAGTTATAATAGTTTAAAAGAAAATTAATTCAATTCTTCTAATAAAAAAAATTCATGATACAGAATTTATTAAGTTTTATTAATGCGCGACACAATGTGGGGACAGTGATAGGTCAACGGTTTCAAATTTCAACTCACGTCAATTCTTCTTGTTCCTTTATTTTTCTTCTTTCACATTTAAGTTTAGAATTTAATATATCTTTGATATTCTCTTAACGTAATTTATATTTATATTTAATGATATGTAACTATATTATTGAACAAGTTCAACATTTCATATATTTATTATTAACATATTTAAATTTATCTAATAAAATATTAACATAAAATTTATAATGTCAATATATTAATATTAAATTCATTAGATTTTGGTTTATTGTTTATTGATAAAAGTTATTATTATTATTTTTGAAAAGCATGAATTTGGTATTTTAATTGAACAATTATCACAGACAAGAATCTAATAACGAAAACAATGAATAAGGAATTATCGATAACTATGGAATGGTTGATGGAACCATGCACCATTTTATTTTTTTATAAAAGAAACAATATCATTATTTCTGTTGTATAACTTTAAAGAAAATAAATCTGTAAATTTTCAAAAGTTAAAAAGATATTTTATATGTAAAAAAATTGCATAAACATTCTTATCTCCGCAAAAATCATTCATTTAGACTATCTTAAAAATTTGAGAACAATATTTATCCTTTTAAATAATGATCATTTTAGTTAAAATTAGCATTTTTTAGTATTAAAAACTAGTATTTTTTATTTAAAATTTAAATTAAAAAAAACTCTTACTATCTCTCCCCATAATTTCTATTGTGTATCTCTTACTCTCATTAAAAATGACATAATTCTATATCTTTTAAAAGAACAAGCACTAATCCCTAAAAATTTATTATATAATTTTTTTGGTACATAATTTATTATATGATTTTTTTGGTACATAATTTATTATATAATTTTTTTTTGTAAATAATTTATTATATAATTAAGTTTGTCGTTATATTGACTTATTTTATTTTTAAAATAATTTAATTTATTTATTCTTTCTTAAAGTAAACAAACACAAACAGGTATTGATTTTTTTTTTCTACTAAGACAAGTTGTTCACCTGGAACTAAACAGGTATTATAAAAATATTTTTGCAAACTTGTAATAAAAAATGTAAGTAATAATTTTTTGGTATTTTTTAATTTTTTTATTATCTAAAATTTGATGTAAATCTTATTAAACAATATAAACTTATTCTTGATTAGTAAGATAAATATATAATTTTAATAAATAACAGAAAATTTAAAATAAGAGTATTTAAGAATATATTATCATTTCTCAGCTTACAATTTAAGATTATGCAATTAGCATAAATAAAATTTAAAATACTCATCATATTCTCGTGAACTTTACACCTAAAGTTCTTGAAATATTATTCAATAGTTTCTCCAAGTATTAAATTTTCTCAAAAAGGTACATAACGTTACTTATTCATAAAACGAGTTTCCAAATTTGGCAAATAACCCATTAATCCTATTTGAGCTAAAAAAGCCCATCCTAAGAAAATCATTGCATAATTCCAGAGGATTTCTAAATTCAAACCATCAATAATTATTCAAATACCAGATGCCTATAATTGTTTATGTGATTTATAAATTTATTACTTATACATATATACAAATAAAAAAATGATCCGTTTACAAATTATATTAAATATGATCGGTCTACACTCTTGATTGAAGTATGACCAGTCATACTTAGTGTAGTTTGTAAGAATTTATAAACAAAAATTTGTTAAGTAAAAATATATGTAAAATTTATAGGGATTTGCATTTGTCATTTAACATGACATAACAAATTTTCCTACACATACAACATTTTGTGGGACCCACACTTTTTGAAAAAAAAGAAAAAAAAGAAAATTACAACACGCAAAACGAATCTCTATAACATTACACAATCACTTTTCCTACAACATAACTCTTATAAAACCCAAATTTATATTATAAAAACATGGGCTCCATATTAAAATATTAGAAACAACAACCCTTCATTTATTTAATGAAAACTTTTTGTTATGTATCTAAAATGTTCATAGCATCTAGATTTCTTCCAACATCATTTCTCTGCATAATATATTCCTAACCCACTTGCATTGTAACACTGTTTTCTGACACAGACACCATTCCTTCCGCGGCTTAACACTTTACCAGCAAAGAGAAAGATAATTCAACACGCGTTGGAGATTAAAATTAAGTAAAAGATCTTCCCTTTCTTTTCTTCTCATCCAACTACACCATCCAACTTCTCCATTCTGTCCCAAATCTCCATCTGGGTCATTAGTTTTGGTGCCTCTTTTCAACCTTTTACTTCATTCATTAGTTTTGGTGGGTGCTTCTAAACTCTTTGTTGGGAAAGGTGACTTTTGGGTACCCAGTTAAACATTTCTTTTGTCAAACCCAGAAATGAAAGCTACCTCCTTTGCTGTTGTGTACCTTTGATTCATTTCAACCACGTGTCTTTGAGTTGTTCCTTGTAGTGTATTGAAGGGCATGGTCTTTTTGTTGAGTGTGAGTGATTCTGTTACTTGTTATACTACTTAGTTTCACATCTTCTTGAGGGAAAGTAGAATGGGATCTGGTAATGAGGTTCACTCTGTTGGAGAGTTCAATTTGGATGCCAAGTGGCTCATAGATCCCAAACAACTATTTGTTGGGCCTAAAATTGGGGAAGGTGCTCATGCCAAAGTTTATGAAGGAAAGTAAGTCAACCTTGTTTCTTTTCTCTCTTTGATTTTTTTTTTTTTTTCCTTGTTCTGTTTTGGGATTCAATTTTGGTTTTTAAATCCCTCTGTGATAAAAATTTCTCCTTTTTCCTTTTGTTAAGAATTATTGGAAAGTTTGTTTTGATTTCTAAGTTCTTCTTCTTGGTTTCCCTTATACATCTGCCGTTAAACCCATCTAGATTTATATGCAATTTCATATTCACCGTTTGTGCATGATCTGTTTAGACAAATGTATATTCTGCCTTCATTATTAGATATGAATGGGATTATTTGATGACATTTTGCGTTATTACTGTTGGATTTTGTGATTGCAGATATAAAACTCAGAACGTTGCTGTCAAGATTATTAATAAGGGAGAAACCCCAGAAGAGATTTCTAGGAGAGAGGCTCGGTTTGCCAGAGAGATTGCCATGTTATCTAAAGTTCAACACAAAAATCTGGTTAAGGTTGTTATCCCAGAAAAAAGCTTTTCTGTTTTCAAATCTGAAGTGTGTGTGTGTGTGGCGCAATAAATGGTTATGACAATAGCTGGTACTCAAACTATGTTTATATTCATAAACTCGGCAAAAAATTGTCTAACTAATACTTATATATTTGTTTGATGCCAGTTCATTGGGGCCTGCAAAGAACCTGTTATGGTTATAGTAACTGAACTTCTGTTAGGTGGAACATTGCGGAAATATCTATGGAGTATACGGCCGAAGTGCTTGGATATGCATGTGGCGGTTGGATTTGCTCTTGATATTGCCCGAGCAATGGAATGCTTACACTGCCACGGGATCATTCACCGTGACCTTAAACCTGGTATTCTTATAAGATTGTCGAACTTATCAGTTTTGTTCGGTTTTGGCTGGACAGGCTGGTAGCTCGTGATGGAAAATATTGACACTTGTCTAGAGTTTTATAGATTTTTGTATCCTGCATGTGATACATGTTTGCTTCTTACTTGCTGAGGGTTGTTGATCTTGATTAGAGGTTTCAAGCAAAGTGAACAATGGTTTCTTTTCTTTATTGGGCTGTATGTGCCTTGCAAAAAAGAAGAGAAAAAAACTGTTGTTATTATTAGTGATCACTCTAATATAATCTTTGTCAAATTCCTCTTTGTTAGTATGGAAATTGTTCCTGCTTCATTTCCAAGCCACTATTGATCTAAAAAGTTTAGGTTTGCACATCACACGTCTCACCCATACTTCAGATGTAATTATTTTAGATGTCAACATACAATTTAGAAATGAAATCATAATCTTGAAAATCAACTTATAATGGTGATAGGTTCTGTTTTGTCTTGTTTGAATTTGAGAAAGATCAGAAGTAAATCAAGGAGCTGGGGTTCCAGTAGCAACAATGGAAATGTTCTTTATTGATCACAGAAAGAAAGATTGCGAGAGGAATATCCTCCTATCAAGGAAATTTTCCCCAAACCTGAGCCTCACCTCAGTTATCTTATTTCAGAATACAAAAAAAAAAAGTGACCTTACAAACTCTTTTCCACTATTATTATCCTCCCCCTCTCAGACACACTCTATTTTCCTAACTAATTTGTAACTAACTACCATGGGCTCTCATTGGAGGTATATTCCTTCTAGAATATACTCTCCAAGATGAGGGCTGACCCCAATTACAAATACCAGTCATACCAATACCTCCCTCTCGTGAGACAACCTTATCCCCAAGGTTGAAGCCTGGAAACTGGTCCTGTATTGTGGCAATATCCTCCCATGTAGCTTCCTCTGTTGGTCTGTCCTGCCTCTGTATCAGTAACTGTGAAATAGGTTCACCTTGCTGTTGTATAGTGCGTTCTCCTGGAATTTGAGCTGGCTGGAATTCAGACCCCTCTGCTTCTAATCCCTCTAGTAAAACAGTCTCCATGGGGTGATTTCCTGCTGCCTTCTTTAGTTAAGAGGCATAGAATACGGGGCGAATCCTTGCCTCTGGAGGTAAATCCAATTTAAATGTGACTGCCACTAAGAAAGGCCCAAAATACCTTGCGGAAAATTTGGGATGTAGCCTGATTTGCATGGATTGATGTCTATGTAGTCTGATCTCCAATAAACCCAATCTCCTGGCTTTATGCCATAAGCTACTCTATGTTTGTTGGCCGACTCATGATTTTCTGCCCGTATGAGATGGAATTTGAGCTGCCTAAGGGCTTCATATCTTCACATCAAATCTTGTGCTACTACCTTCACTAGTGTCTTGCCTAGAACAAATTTGGAAAAGGAAGAGAGAGAGAGAAGGGGGGGGGGGGGGGGGGGTAGGTCTGCTATATACTATCTCAAATGGGGTGGTGGTACGGGCTGATGAATGAAAACTGGTGTTATGCCAGTATTCAGCCCATAGAATAAAATCTCCCTATGTATTAGGTTGCTTAGAGTAAAAGCAAATGCAAATATGTTTCAAGGGTGCGATTTAACTCCTCTGTCTGCCCATCCGTCTCCAGATGATATGCAGTGTTGAATTTTAAAACAGTCCCTTTTAAGCGAAACAACTCCTCCAAAAAGTACTCATTACAATTGGAACTGTATCACACCGACTAAAGAGATGGGTATGCCATATAGCCTTACAATATCTTTAATTAATGTCTCTCAAAATACTCCTAGCAGAATAAGGGTGTTTAAGCAGAGAGAACTGACAATACTTACTCAGCCTATCTACCACCACCATCATTGTGTCATAGTAGCCCCTGCACTAGGGAAGACCCACAATAAAGTCCATACCCTACACTTCCCAAATAACATTTGGTACTGGCTGTGGCTGCAGTAAGCCAAGTGAAGAGAATGCTTGGTACTTGCTGCTCTGGCACATGTGGCAGTTTGCAACAAATTCAGTTACATCACTTTTCATGCCCGCCCAAAAGACTGATTGAGCCAACCTCCTAAACGTGCAAAAAATACCAGTGTACCCCCCTGTAGGTTAAGTACGAAACTCCTGAAGCAATTTAGGGATCCATTCTAATTTGGTAGATAACGCCAATCTGCCTTTGTAGTTCAGTCTTCCATTTTCTAAGGTGTAATAATGAGGATGGGAATCTGCATCTGCTTACAAATCTGACATCACCTTGGACAAATAAGGATCCTGCCTAACTTCCTTAGAGATCAGTGATGCCAACTGCCAAATCGGATTGGATATTGTTTGTAATTCCATTTTCCCCTCGCACCTGGATAAGGCATCTGCCACCCTATTGGATGAGCCCTCCTTATACAAAATATCAAACTTATCAACAACATCAACATCAACAACACCTTTATCCCAAATTAATTGGGGTCGGTGGTAGATGAACCCACATGAAAGATACAAAACGGTTGAAAAAAAGTAAAAAAAAAAATAAAAAAAAAAAAAAAAAAAAAAATAAATAAATAAAAATACACAAATAAAATAATAAAATAAAATAAAATGAAATAAAAATATATGTATATATAAATAAATAAAAGTAAAAAAGAAAGGGACAAGAAGAAGTGGGGGAAATGAAGGGGAAAAAGACTAAAAAAGGACCATCTGGAACATAGGAATAACAGCGAGTCTAACCCTCCACCATACTTATAGCTTTTCTCCATTCCTTTCTAAGACATACTGTCCGCCAATCTATATCCCACTCCATTAAATCTTGTTTTACTACTTTCCCCCAAGTAAGCTTCGGCCTACCTCTGCCTCTTTTTGTGTTTAGCTCTTGGTAACAAACTTCTGTTCTTACAGGAGCATCCATGGGTCTTCTCATCACGTGCCCAAACCACCTCAATCTATGTTCTCTCATCTTCTCGGCTACCGGTACTACTCCGACCTTTCGTCGAATATCTTCATTTCTTATCTTATCTATCCTTGTGTACCCACACATCCACCTTAACATCCTCATCTCTGCTACTCCCATCTTATGCTCATGTTGCCTATGTGCTGGCCAGCATTCCGCTCCATATAGCATTGCCGGTCGTACTGCCGTTTTATAGAATTTTCCTTTTAACTTCAGGGGAATTTTGCGGTCACACAAAAATGCAGATGCACTACGCCATTTCATCCACCCTGCTCTGATTCTGTGATTTACATCCTCATCAATCTCTCCACCATTTTGTAAAATGGAGCCCAAGTATTTAAAAGCATTTTTTTTGGGTACCTCTTGACCATTTAGATGCACAGGTTCTTGGTCCTCATCTTGTACCAGAGAAAACTCACACTTCAGATACTCAGTCTTGCTTCGACTTAATGTGAATCCTCTGGATTCCAATGTGCTTCTCCACAATTCAAGTTTTCTATTAACACCCTCCTTGCTCTCATCAATAAGCACAATATCGTCTGCAAAAAGCATACACCATGGCACTTCCTCTTGAATATCTTTTGTTAGTTCATCCATAACTAAGGCAAATAGGTAAGGACTTAGAGCCGACCCTTGGTGTACACCTACCGTGATAGGAAAATAACTTGATGATCCGTTACAAGCTTTTACACATGTAGTAGCCCCATCATACATATCCTTGATTGCCTTTACATACTTTAATGGAACCTTTTTCTTCTCCAGGACCCACCATAAAACTTTCCTTGGAACCCTATCGTATGCTTTCTCAAGGTCTATGAACACCATATGCAAGTCCTTCTTCTTTTCTCGGTATCTTTCCATTAGTTGTCGCATCAAGAAAATGGCTTCCATGGTACATCTTCCTGGCATAAATCCAAATTGATTTACAGAAACCTTGGTATCTCTCCTCAAGCGATGTTCAATAACCCTCTCCCACAGCTTCATAGTATGACTCATTAGCTTAATGCCTCTATAGTTTGAACAATTCTGTATATCTCCCTTGTTTTTGTAGATAGGCACAATCATACTTTTCCTCCATACATCAGGCATCTTATTCGTCTGGAGAATCTTATTAAAAAGATTGGTCAACCATTTTATTGCCACATCCCCCAGGCCTCTCCACACTCCAATAGGGACACCATCAGGCCCCAAGGCTTTATTAGTCTTCATCCTCTTTAAAGCCTCCTTAACTTCATGTGTATTAATTCTGCGTACAAATCTTCTATTCACATCATCATACGCGTCCTCTAAGTCCACCTCGCTTGTATTTCCATCCCCATTAAACAGCTTGTTGAAGTATTTCAACCATCTTTCATTTACATCTTCATCTCTCACCAGAAGTTTTTGATTTTCATCCTTGATGCATCTAACTTGAGTGAGGTCTTTACTTTTCTTATCCCTTATCCTTGCAAGTTTATAAATACCTCTTTCACCATCCTTGCTCCCAAGACTTTTATACAACTCGTCGAAAACCTTGCCTCTCGCTTCTCGCACTGCTTTCTTTGCATTTTTTCTCGCCAATCTAAACTTTTGCAGGTTCTCTTCATTGGGACTTTTATGCAAAGATCTAAAGCACTCCTTCTTATGTTTAATTGCCTCTTGCACCTCTCCATTCCACCACCATGTTTCCTTTGTATGAAATCCATTTCCTTTGCTTTCTCCCAACACCCTCCTTCCTAAATTTTGAATACACTTAGCCATCTCATTCCATATTGCATTTACTCCTCCATCAAACTCCCAAGGTCCTTCGTGCAACATTCTATCATTGAACTCTCTCTCTTTTCCCTCCTTAAGCTTCCACCACCTTATCCTTGGATTCTGAGCCCTCTTCTTCATTGTACGTACTTTGTTGAACCGAACATCCAAGACTACCAGCTTATGTTGCGTAGCAACGCACTCTCCAGGGTAGACCTTACATTCGACACAAGAAGTTCTATCTTCTCTTCTAGCCAGAAAGAAATCAATCTGACTACGATTATGGCCACTATGATAAGTGATCAGGTGTGACTCCCTTTTTTGAAAAAAGGTGTTCACTAACATCAAATCGTAGGCTAGTGCAACATTCAAGATATCTTCTCCAGTCTCGTTTCTCGTCCCATAGCCAAAACTTCCATGGATTCTATCAAAACCTCCATTGCTTTTACCAACATGACCATTTAGATCTCCTCCTACGAAAATCTTCTCCTCTCGAGGTATTCCCCTCAAAACCTCCTCCAAGTCTTCCCAAAATTGGCTTTTATCAGTTGGTTGCAATCCAATTTGGGGTGCATACACACTGAGGATATTCAGGATTAAGTCACCCACAACAAGCTTAACCAGAATAATCCTGTCGCCTTTCCTTTTGACGTCCACAACTTTATCTCTGAAACTTTTGTCGATCATAATTCCAACACCATTTCGACTCTTGTTCGTACCTGTGTACCATAACTTGAAACCAGTTCCATCCACTTCCTTGGCCTTTTCTCCAGCCCACTTAGTTTCTTGCAAACAAACAATATTCACTTTCCTTCTAGCAAAAACATCTGACAACTCCCTCAATTTACCCGTTAAGGTTCCTATGTTCCAGCTTCCCAATCTCATCCTTAACCCCTGGGCTGTGCTTGCCCGCCACGCTCGCCCATCTGCGTGTTGGGACCCTGGCATACTTCTCACCAAATTCGGGTGAAGACCTGGCGCCTTGCCTTGGGGCAAGGACCCTAGCCCACTTTTCACTACACCTCGGGCCCGATGCAGCGCCTTGCCTTGTGGCAAGGACCCTAGCCCATTTTTCGCTACACCCGGGGCCCGGTGCAACGCGTCGCTATGAAGGGTACGCCCCAACGAAAAATCATATAGGTTCATCACATAAAAATATAGCTGTTTTTTACGGCCGGTTCGCAACACCTGACGCCAACCCTCCTCCTTTATCCTGGCTTGGGACAGGCCATGCATGCAAGCACACATGGGCAGAGTTCAAAATATCAAACTTATAACCCAGTAATTTAGCCAGCCAATTTTGCTGGATTTGAGCGGTCACCATTTGGTACATAATTCCTCCATGATGGGAATAGGAAATTTATTAGGCATGGTGGCCTTGTTCAAGGTTTTGTAATCCACGCAGAACCTCTAACTCACATCTTTTTCTTGACTAATAACATCAGGCTAGATTCCAGACTATTACTAGGTTTGATCAAGCGAGAATTAAGCATATCGTTACTAATTTCTCTATTTCATTCTTCTGTAAGTGAGCATACTATAGGGGTGAACATTGACTGGTTTTGTTCCTCCTTCAAAGGTATCTTATGGTTGACGTCTCTCCGGGGAGGTAATCCATCCAATTCAACAAATACAAATGCATACTTCTGCATCAAGGATTGCAACTCAATATCATGTTGAGGGTTAAGTGCTGTTGATTGTCTCAGAGTTTGCACATCCAACTCCTTATCCATAATAGTAAAAACCCAGACCACTTTCGCTGCATCAATTTCCCTAGTTCTGTCCATGCCCTTTAATGACATTACTGACTTAGATAGGCTAGGTTCTCCCTTGATACGAATCTATTGATCTTGGATGTAAAATGACATCTCCAAAGTTCTCAATTAATTCTAACTTCACCCAAAAGTTTCTAACCACGCCATCACAAGAATTACATCTACATGACTACACCCCATAGTTCAAACAAATAAAAGTCACCCATCATTTGGTAATCTTCTAGTGTCCCTACGAATTTTGAGCAGCACCCTTCTAATCTTACTCTTTAGTCATCCCCCAGTCAGACTTTGAACGGGGAAGTCACAGTTAGTGGCTATCCTATCTCCCTACTAGACATTAGCCCACGAAGTTGTGAGACCAATACTATTTTGTCCCCAATCATCCCTTTTGGCTTCATAGTCTTTGGTTGTGTTATTTCTCCAACTGAAAATTGCTAGAGATCCATTCATCTATAAGAAACTTCTGAGGTCTCACCTTCATCATTCAATGCATGCAACATTGGGTCCAAGACATTCAACTTTAGGTCATTCTCTAACTCTTCATCCTCCCCCATGGGCACCTATGTCCTGGACCAAAAGACAAGCCACTCTGGAAACAATGACCTTCTTCACACACTTGAGGTATTCTGTAAGTGTGATAACTGGTTCCTCGATTTCTGGCTCCGACATACCCCTTGTTGGTAGTCAATTACTAGAGTCTGCGGAGATGATGGAACTTTCGCCACCAGAGTGTCACTCTTTGTCCACCAGCAGAGTTGCCTTCCCCTACTGTACAATGCTCTTTGTTCAAGTTCCTCTGTCAAGCGTGCCTTGCTGTTGTGTGGTTGCCCCCCAAGATTTCAATTTTTTTCTTATGTAGTACGAGGTTGGAGCCCTAATTGAAATTAGGGCATTTTCAGCTCATCTTCAACATAAATAGTATGGGTCGCTTGGGCCACTAACTCCTGTATGTATTCTTCCACATCTCTGTCATGCCTTAACGTCGACAGTCACTCGTAGACGCTTCCCAAATTTCGGCCACCATACCTCTGCACCATCGTCACAGTCAAGTCTGCCCAATCCAAGTCCGATACCATTTTACAAAGAAATCGAAACCAATGTGCGGTGCTCCCCTCCATACTCACACACGATTCGTGTTCTCTCAGAATTTGAGATATCTTGCACCTCAAAGAGCTTTTTTGCACGAGCGATTCACCTCGAAGGGTCAACCCCTTCAAAGCTAGGCAATTCCACCTTTGACGTCTTGGTGTGCTCGATAGAGGAACTTGAACTCGTTCCCTCTCCTTCACTTGAGCGTTGTTCATCGGAAGCCTCTCCTCCATTCTTGTGGATCAGAGACCTTGCCCCATCACCCTCAACTCCTCAATCTTGTCCAATTTCTTGTCCCATGCATCCAAGTGACAATTAGAATCATTGGTTTCTTTTTGTATGCCTTCAACTACCTTCTCCAGAGCTTCCACATGCACTTCCCAAAAACCCATATTTTTCCCACCTCAAATTCTGGCTGGTCAGACCAACTGATAGGTTTTGTTTTGCCTTGTTTGAAATTGAGAAAGATCAGAAGTAAATTGGAGAGCAGGGTTCCAGTGGCAACAATGGAAATGCTCTTTATTGGTCACGCAGAAGAAAGATTACTAGAGAATATTCTCCTACCAGGGAAATGTTCCCTGTACCTGAGCCTCGTCTCAGTCTATCTAATTTTAGAATACAATCAAAAAGTGACCTTACAAACTCTTTTCCCCTATTCATATCTCCCCCTCTCAGACACTCTATTTTCCTACTAATTTGTAACTAACTACCATGGGAACTCACCAAAGCTATATTCCTTCTAGAATATACTTTCCAACATGAGGGTTGACCCCCATTACGAATACCAGTCTTGGTAACTGATTTTTCTTAGGTACTTGTCTCTTGCTGCTGTGACTTCTGGTTATGCATGTCATGTGGTTTTGAGCCTAGGACTAGCAAATATCTGAAAATGTAACACCATTGGTATTTGGATATTGTTCCTATGCTATCAGTGGCATGTATTTTGGATAGCAACTCAGGCAATTTATGCACATTTAGATGATACTTGAAGAGTCTAAATGGTGTTACAACAGTTAGACTCTTCATTCCCTTGTAAGGTGCTATATTTCTGGGGCTAGACATTTAGATTATACTTGAAGAGTCTAAACGCTATGATCAAAGAACATATACCATACCTTCATTCCCTTGTAAGGAGCTATGTTTCTGGGCTAGAGATTCTAGTCATTGAGATGATAGAGAATAACTATTGTGAGGAGCAAAGCCTCTAATTTACATACAATTTGATAGTAATATCAAGCAGTATTTCTGTTCTCTTTATCAAATATCAAGCGTAGTTCTTATCACATGTTTCCTCTTTTCTTCCCAGATAACTTGATCTTGACAGCAGATCATAAAACAGTTAAACTTGCTGATTTTGGTCTAGCCAGAGAAGAGTCCTTAACAGAGATGATGACTGCTGAGACAGGAACATATCGTTGGATGGCTCCAGAAGTACTTCTTAATTAACATTTCATTAATTTTCCAGTTGGGTGGTTCATATTAGGTAATTTATAATTTCATTCGTGTTTGGTGGCAGCTGTACAGCACAGTCACTCTAAGACAAGGGGAGAAGAAGCATTACAACCACAAGGTGGATGCTTATAGCTTTGCAATTGTGTTGTGGGAGCTCATCCATAATAAGTTGCCCTTTGAAGGCATGTCTAATCTACAAGCAGCATATGCAGCTGCTTTTAAGGTCGATAACATTCTGGTCTTCTGGTGCTTACTATAATATTTTATGCTTAAAGTTGGTAATACTTGTATAATATATGACCACTAGCAAGCAGTCGCCATCCCAGATATAGAAACATCAGAAGTAGCAGAATAAAACTGTAAAGTTTCATTTTCTGGAAAGGCTGCCAATTTCTTGACACTTCTGGAAACATTTTTTTTTTATTACATTCTGGAAAACTTTTAACCCCTTAATTTGGAGGTCTACTTCTGCTTGTCATCTTGTATCTATGATTAGCACTTGCCCTTGAAAGTAGAAAGTGCAAGAATTTTCATTTTAAGTATAATCACAGATTTGATTGTAACTGGTAATGGGTTTGGCATTTACTCTACCACCATTGATCTGATTTGATTGTCAGCTAGTCACATATTTGATACTCTACACTACACAAATTATGTCTTTGGGTTATTATAATTTTCTACTCTTTATATTCTCATTTATCTAGGATCTTTATCTGACTATAGTCATATTTTAACATATGTTTATCACTGAATGTGCTGCTGTTATTCTTGGAGTTTACTAAGGATTTATGATTCAAATATTTACTTTACTATTTCAGAATACAAGGCCCAGTGCTGAAGACCTCCCTGAGGATTTAGCTCTGATTGTAACTTCATGTTGGAAAGAGGATCCAAATGATAGGCCAAATTTTACTCAAATAATACAGATGCTCCTTCGATATCTCACTACTATATCACCATCCGAGCCAGTTGTTCCTCTGCGAATCGCTTCATCTAAGAATTCTGTATTACCACCAGAATCTCCAGGTACAAGTGCTTTAATGGCTGGAAGAGATGATGATTCTGGAGAAACCCCAAAAGTCAGTATTGAAGACAGGGCTAAAGGGATTTTCTTCTGCTTTAACCAGTGTTACTGATGCCTCAAAGCACATAATTTTTCCAAACAGTTAGGCAATCTGAATAAACCACATTCACCAAATGTTACAATTAGAATCTTAACAAGGAAACTACTATCAAATAAGTCAGTTTAGTACCTTTGCTTTCATTTTCTCAGCAAGAGTAACATGCTATTTTAACATTGGTTTGACTTGCTTCTGACTGATACATAAGGCTGGTCAGAAAATTTTGGGGTTTAGGTTGCTGAGATGTAATATTGTATAATAAGATTCATCCAAATGCCTTCACCTCTTGTTTAAATGTATGGAAATGGCATGGAAAATGAAAGAAAATGGGGCAATAAGTTTGTTTGCATTCATATGTGTTCCGTTCAAGAATCTTGGTAGCCTTGCCAATTTGCCTATGTTGACGCTTCTATAGTTCTATTTGCTGGAGTCTGGAGACATACCTATAACATTGTAATGGCCAACAACTCTAGTTTTTTATCTCCAAAAAACGTAAAGAGTTTGTACTTGACATTAGGGTATATATATAAGTTCAGTCATCAATCACCTGAGTTGGCTTGTATACTCAATATTTTGGCCCTTCTTTAATAAAGAATTTAACCAATGTTGACTTTTATTCGCTGTAAAACACAATTTATGATTCTCATGTTACTTTTTTTAATCTAGGGCATTAAACCGTGGAAAATTGAATGCTAATTTAGGAATAAATCTTTGGTGCTACTATAGCACTAAAGATTCAGTACATCCTACTAATAAAAATATTATATGTCAGTTAAAGTTTAATTTTCTGTGACAAAATTTTTTTCTCTCTTATGATGTGTAATGCTCTAATTAGTGAGATGCACTGAATCTTGGTGCAACAGTAGCACCAAAAATTTATTCCTAATTTAGGGCCTGAAACTCTAGATTAATACCTATGACTTGAATCTTAGATATTCAAACGTGGAAAATTGAATGCTGATTTAGAGCTTGAACCCTAGATTAGTACCTAAGGCCTGCCTTAGGCTTACAAGTGCGGAAGAATGAATGTTAGGATTACAAAAATCAAGTACCTCGCAACCACAATGAACGAAAGCATATGCAAAGCCATCTAGTCAAAGCAACAAGTCATATTGCAGAAATAACAGAGGATCTTGCAAACAAAAGGATCCCTTAAAATGAAAAAAAAAAAAAAAAAAATACAAGTGGAAAGGTGCGCAAACATGAATCACATATGTATACATAATACATCTTGCTATTCATGCTTTCAACATAAATAAGGAGTTGTGAGACTTGTGATGTGGAATAAATATATTAAAAGTCCATTTGTGAAGTCTTCATCATAAAAAAAGCCCATTTGTGAAGCCTTAACTATGAAAAAAGATATCTCATCAATTCTCTCAAAGTCAAGAAAGACTGCTCTTCAATATTACTCCCGTATCTTAGCAATCTTATTTCTACAACTTCTTTACAAATCTTATCTCAAGCCAGCTTGTTGCCTCACCACTAACTTGGAGGGGCACCCCCAAAGCTGGTCATTCCTTCCACTATAAATATAAGTGTGCTAAACACAAGGTACACCACACATATTCTTCTGCATGAAAAAAAGCCCACTTGTGAAGCCTTCACTATAAAAAAAGATATCTTATCAATTCTCTCAAAGTACACATCTTCTTCTACATGAAAGACCTGTTTTTTGTTATTATAAACTTTTTTCTGTACACACATGACACACCAATTCAACCACGTTGAGTTAAAAAAATAATGAATCACAAATATGTGGGCTAAATAAATAAAGAGGAGAGATATTCTTACTACCAAAATTTTCTACTACCAATTCACTATCTATCTAATCACTATTGGATCAACATTTTCTCTTTTTTCAAAATTTTTTTAGCATTCTCTCTCTTTGATTCAATGGTGATTAGATAGGTAGTAAGTTAGTAGTAGAAAATTTTGGTGGTAAGAATATCCTCCATCATAAATAAAAATATATATAATTGAAAATTGAAAATAACGCGAACGCGAACGGTCGTGCATCGTTGTTTTGTCATTATTATGAGATATAACAGGGGTAGAATAGTAAATGAAAGAATTCTTAATAACGTTTACATCTTTAGCTTGAGCGACAAGGTTGTCATAATGGCAATAACTCGGTTATCGAAGCTTTACCTTCTGTTCCACATCCGAACCAAAAGGCCCGGATTTGCTTCGGTCAATGGTGGGCCCAGCCAAACCACAAATCGGTCCGTCTTTTATTGAGAGTCCCGTACGACGAAGCAACAGGTTCGAAACCCGAGGCTCTTCCATACCAATTGCAAGACACAGTTTCCCGCTCACTCACACTGTCTCTTTCACTCGCCGATTGAAAAGGGGAAAGAAAAACATAGTCGAAGTTGAATACGCTGAAGTTGTCTTTGCTTCTCTCTCTCTCTCTCTCTATCGAATGCGTCTTTTGGCACTTCTTCTTCGATACAATGGCTAGGTGAGCTTAGAATCAGCTATTAGGAACGCTGCAAAAGTTTCCATTTTTGGAGAGACAAGTTTTGTTGCTTTACGTTCTTTGTGTTTCGAAAGCTTCCTCCTTTTCGGTGTTTTTCTTGATTGCTTTCTTTTTATGGGGTGTGACGTGGACATGGTTCAGTTTTGGGACAAGTAGTGTTGTGTAGTCAGTAGTGTAGTGTAGGGTGTGACATGGTTTGAGTTTTTAGCCTTTTGGGGTTGATGATGGTCAATGATGGATGTTGGGAAAAATCTTCTGTTCATTTATCCTAGGATACGTAGGCGTAGCACCGAAGATTTGTTCTGGATGTGGATGGTCTGTTTTGTTTTGTTTTTTTTTTTTTTTTTTTCCTTTTTACGTTTGGAATGATAGTTTGTGGGTATTTTTACATTCCCATTTGGGGGGTTTGTTGTTTATGTTTAATAGACAGCTATAGAATGGAAATGAACTGAATAGTGTAGGGGAAGTTTATTTATACCATGAACCAAAAACTAGTTACAATTTACAAAGAGAATAGAGTAGTGAGATAAGGAGACTGAGGAGGTAAGAGAGTCATTCACACCAAAACTACCTTCTCTCAACTTATTCCTCACTTAAATACCCATTCCCCTTTACAGTACAAATTCCCTTTCAATTGGCTCCCCATTTTTGAGCTCCCAATGCCTAATGTCAATTTGTTGTAACTGATTTCCCTTGCGTGGAGCTTCATAACATTTTTGCTGCTTTAGTTGGACTATGAATGAGATTGGGGATGTGGGGGTGTTTGGTTTGGCTGACATTCTTGCATTGTGGGAAGGACACAGTTGGGAAGTACTACATAATAGGGCAAAAGCCTCTCTGACTTGGAAGGGTAAGGGTAAGGGTCGATTGTATACAATCTTACCCTTAAATTTTTGCAAACAGGCTGCTTTCTAGACTTGAACCCGTGACCTTCTGGTCACAAAGAGCAACCTTAGCACTGCCCTCGTTAGATAATGATTGGAACCTTTTTTTGGAAGATTGAAATACACTCAGTTGAGGTAGGGAATTGGTCATGTGAAGTAGCAGCAAAGGTTAATTTGCTGGAGTTTCTCAAATAACTTATGTCAATGAAAATATAGGGGTGGCCTGTAATGGAAGTGGTGATGAACGTTAATCTTGACTAAGTTTACATGACACTATGATATTGATAATCCAAAAATGATGTTATTATTATTTTATTTTTTTTGTTGCTTTGCTGTTGTATTCATCCCTTTTTGCTCCCCAAATGGTCCACTTGTTTAAAAAAAGTTCTGGAGGGAATTTCAAGAGTGAAATGTAACATTATGTGGAAGATCATTGACTATGCCCATCCTTTCGAATATTATGTATACTCGTTTTATTTGGTGTATACCTGTGTTAAGGAACAGGATTTCTACCTGATGATGTTATAAGGTATAAGCAAATCTTGGGTATTATTTTGGGCTGATTTGGCAATAAAAAATTGATGTTACCTATGTTTGAGATTTTACTTAGTTTCGTTGAAGCATACTACTTAACATTATTTATTCACACCTTGCCATTCACGACTATTTTCTACCATAGAGCCTTTAGAGTTTACTGTACTTTGGCGTCCCGAATCTATAGCAATACATAGATTGTGCTCCTAAATTCCCCTCTTACTTCGTTACTTTCTGCATGATTTTCTTTGTTTTCCCTTGCTTCTATTATTCTGTACTTGGTGGGAACTCAAAGAATGTCATTGATGTTCTTAAATATTGTTTTTTTTCCCCTTTCTTTTCATCACGAAAAGAAGCATATTCATTTTTGTTAAAGATATCTTAGAAATTTAAGTTTCATTTATGAACCAGTCCACTAGTTCTGTGAATCATTCTTATGAATTGTTGATGACTGAATAGCTTATTTCCTGATAAGTGACATGGTTCCTCAACAGGCAACTTCTTTAGGCCTGCTTTTAGTTTCTCCTCTTGCATTTATTTTTGCTTTTTAACAACCAATTTTATTTTATTTTTAACTATATGTAAATATGTATTAAAAGCTCTTCAGAACAAACTTTTTTTTTTAACTACGGAATACTGAACTTAGATTATATTTGTTACTTTATTTTACAGGAGCTGGCTTATTGACATAGGAGGATTTGCAAAGAAAGTGAAAAACACTACTCTATCTTCAGCTGATCAAATTAAGGATTGTGGGGCATATCGTGAATGCCCGAATTGTCATTACCATATCGATAACAGTGATGTATGTTAGAATTCAACTTTATATTGATTCTTTCGGTTCATAATTGCTTATTCCAGTTCACACATGCACAAAAAATAGAGAAAAGTTAGAAGCAATGGACTCTACTCTTAGTAGAGCTCTTCCTATTACCATTTACTATAGATTTTGTTTATGCTCCAATTCCTTTCCCGACTTCTTTTGGTACATACAATTAATTCAAGTATTTAATGTGCCTCTGCCTGTGGAAAAGTTTGCAAACTTTACCTTCATAAAGGGAAAACCCCCTAATGCACAAGCCTTGTGACTTTGTGAGGGTAGGGGTGATGGTTGAATGTATACAGTTTTACCCATACAATTTTTACAAAGGCTGTTTCCTACCAGGATTAAATTCTTGAAAAGGTTTTGCATGGGTTTGAATGATTGTAGATGTTCCATTAGAATATTTCTTTGCCTGTGTAGGTTTCTACTGAGTGGCCTGGCTTTCCTGTTGGTGTAAAGTTTGATCCTTCTGATGTAGAACTCTTAGAACATTTAGCAGCAAAATGTGGCGTTGGGAACACAGAGCCGCACATGTTTATCCATGAGTTCATCCCAACACTGGAAGGAGACCAAGGTATTTGCTACACACATCCAGAAAATCTTCCAGGTGAGAATTCTCTAACCTGTTGCTTTCAAATATGTAAACATTAACCAGTAAGTAAAGTCATTATGTCAAACCTGACAAACATCTCAAAGGAAGACTGCTTAAATACTTTATTACATGTGAATGTGACAAGAAAGGATCCCTTGTGGAATAAGTTATTAAAAAGAGCCGTGAATGACATATCAATGTAATATTAGACTGCCTTCTGCACTTGGTACACAATGTTTGATTTTACATTGATTCCTGACGAAGAAAATAGGACACAATACAAGTCCATCAAATAGTAAGTCAAATTTCATCAAATCTGAATCAACACCTTATACATTCTTGGCCTTACAACACCTATATTTTCCCCTTTTAAACAAGAACCTAATCAAGAATCAGATCATGTTAATTGGTAGATATTTTTAATACATTACATCATGTTTTTAACCTTCTTTAATGGTGATTGAGGGAAGGCAGGTTTTTCTGATTGCCAAACGTAATATATTTAGTGGCTGCTAATTGTGATTATCTCATGGTTAACTTTCTACATGTTCTGACTATTGACTTTGTTCATGGACTTCAATTGGCTCTTTTTCTGGATCTATGTAACCAAATTATACCTGTTTTGTTTTTTAGGTGCTAAGAAAGATGGGAGCAATGTCCATTTCTTTCACAGAACTATTAATGCATTTACAACTGGTCAACGAAAGCGCAGAAAGATTCATCATGATGGTTTGAGCGAAGAGCATGTGCGTTGGCATAAGACTGGTAAGACCAAAGCTATAGTAGAAGATGGTGTACATAAGGGCTTTAAGAAGATCATGGTTCTTTATATAAAATCTGAGAAAGGGTCCAAGCCCTATAAATCCAACTGGGTAATGCATCAGTACCATCTAGGGACTGAAGAAGATGAGAAGGATGGTGAATATGTGGTTTCAAAAATATTCTATCAGCAGCAAAAGCAGAGTGAGAAGAATGAGGAGAATCCAGTGGCTGAAGATTCAGACAATATAACATCACGAACAAGTCCAAGGACTCCAAAACCAAATCCCCCCAATCCACCTCGTATAGGAAAATGTGTTGACTGTGATGACATTATTGGTGAAATTGCACTCCAGGTGGGCAGCTATACACGGTGCATATGGTTGAATATGATGATTAATCTCACTTTTAGGTCAATCATCTTTTAGAAAAATCAAATGGAAAAGAGAAGTCAAATCTAATATTCTACCTCAGAAACAAGCCTGCATAAAAACATTTATACTTGTCTTAAAAATTCAGTGAGTAGTGAGAATAGAAGTGATGTAACAGTTTTACTATATTTTTCTGACTACCTTACATTCTTTGGTTCATCTCTAAAATTTAATTTTTACAAACTAGGATGCCAAGTCTATCCCTGGAGGATCACAGGCTCAGCAATTTGATATTCAGGATCAGGAGAATACAAGCAATCCTGCATGGTTGGCTGGTGAATCCCAGGCTTTGGAAAACTCTGGATTTGGCGGCTTGGATGACATATTATTATGCCCGGAAATCTTGGATTCTTTTGCTCTATTGAATGATTCTGGATTGGACTCTGCCATTCTCAATGGTTTTGCTTGCAATGGAAATGAAATGGCTGGAAATGATAATGCATCATGTGGAATTTCTTTTCTGGATACACTGCAATTGGGTACTCCTCCAGATTTTGATCCTTCTGTAAGCATCCGATTGCCCTTGCTCACTCCACCTTTTATTTAGAGTTTTCTAATTTATTAACATGCTCACTCACTTATTCTTAATTTGCATGCAGAATTTGGAATTTTGTTCTCAAGACAGTATATTTGAGTGGATTGACAGGTTATGAGGTGCTGTTTTAAAGCAAATTCCTTTTGATACTATGCTCATCCCAAAAGTGTTCCATTAAATTGCCTGGGTAGTGCACCCATTTTTTTTTTCTCTTTCATTCTTCGGTGCAATGGTTTTTCCGCTCCTGGTTGCTGCAGATATAGTGTACAAAGCTTAGTTTATCATGATATGATGCTTGCAAGCAGAAATAATACTGTGTTTAGTTCCTGAACTCATGCATTTTTTGTCATATCATGCAGTTAAGCCTCAGTTAAGGCGCGGTATTTGTGTGAAATTGTTTTTTGGAGGTGTATTCGTTACCCATTCTAAACTTTTGTTTTGACTAATTATGTCAAAGCTATTGAAGTGGTGAATAGATCTTTGGGGCGCTAAAATCCAAAAATGTAATAGATTATAAACTATATGTACTAAATATTTGAGTGATAGTATGTCAATATTATAAACATATTAGTTTTAACTTTGGAGGGCATGCCATTACTTTCCTTTTACATGGTTTATTGAGAACTCAGAAAGGACTTCCGGTAACTCGCAGAACCAGTCTCTTGGATTCAATGATTGAATCTTCTATTGTTGACTGTGCATATACAGAAATCAATAGGGTACATGTGTCAATTACTTGAAAAATTGTCTACCTAAAAGATTATTTAATGTTCATAGATGTGTGAAGAAAACGTAGATTCTTCTACTTGGTATGGAGAACCCGAGGCAGCTCTTCCTGCGATAAAATGTGTTATGGACTCATGTTTTCTTAAAAAAAAATTTCCTTTATTTTAATTTGGATAATATTAATCTTACACTAGTGTAAGTTGATCCTGTCTCTCTCTCTATATATATATATATATATATATATATATATATATATATATATATAAGAGATTAGATCCTTTGACACTAGTTTCAAATTTTAAAATTTGACACTAAATTCTAATTTTTGATTTTTGTCGATCAACGATTATCATTTATTGGGAATCAAATTTATTAATTAATATTAAAAAAAACCAATGATGTCACATGTTTACAAATCAGAGTCGTTGATCTTTTTTGATCTGACGGCTTTTAGATGAGGTGTCAAAAGATCTTATCCTTATATATATATATATATATATATATATATATATATATGGTTTGATGTTTGTCATTTTAAATGACATAAGTTATGTCATTTTAATAAACAAAGAATGAAAATCATACGAGAGAAAGTGGATGGTTTTTTTAATTTAAATTTTAAATAAAGAATATTTTTGTGTCTATCTCTTTTTTAAAATGACATAATTTTATGTCATTTAAAATGACAAATAGTTTTCTCATATATATATATATATATATATATATATATATATATATAGGGTTCGCTTTTTTTGCAGTTACTGCAAATAAGTTATCTCCAGTAAGCCCAATACGACGTCGTTTTGGAACGGAAGTCATGGTGTTTTTATAATTTTAATTTATTTCAGGATTATTATAATATTTATAATTATAATTTTTTAATATTTCAATCCAAAAACGACGTCGTTTTGGAAGTAAATGTAGATAACTTATCTGCAGTAACTACAAAAATATTTTTCTGATATATATATGGAGTTTAGATTTCTGTAGCTACTGTATGTGCTGTTAGTATATGGATGTCCTAGAGACAATCTTTTAATTAGATTAGGACATATGTGGACCTTTGTATTGTCGCAAATAAATAAAAGCACTATTTATCCTGTTTCATATTTTGTCTCAATATTACTGTTAATATTTTATATGAGTAACGAGATAAACCCCTTGGAATAAAATAGGTATCTCTTGAGTATCTGTGATGAGATCACGATCATGAGGATTCAAGGATACTGGATATTTATTCCTAATTTTATGTTCCTAGTCTAGAGACACTGAGAATGGGGATCAGTGATCTCGGGTAAGACTAGCACGACTTATCTACTTGTATTTGTATTCGGATGCAAGATAAAGACCTCATGAGCTACAGATTTGGAGATGTCTTAGCTAAAGTCGTGGGTGGATCTATAAGGGTATAGCTCGCACTGAACAGCCCCACAAAAGAGACTCTATGAGGAAATCTCACAGAGAGTATCATTAGAGTAGTCTCTTTATATTTGGGTATGTCTTTTCTTAGACCAGAAGTTATTACCTAGACTGTGTTCTAGAAGGCATGCTTTGACTGTATACCTCGTCTGCCTGAAACATGGAGACTCATAGGTATACTGTTGGGCTTGCCCTGAAAGAGCACAGGGCTTGGGTGATAAGCTGAAGGAATTCGTCAAATCTCTGTGAGAGATTAGGTTATCTGTAAACCGGAGAAATCGGGATGACATTTACAGGGACTCGGGAATCTATGCATAGTAAAAGAAATCATGAGATGATCTGCCTTTAGAGTTAGTAAATTGAAGATTCCCTATTTCGAATAAAGCTTACCCTAAACCGCAAGGGTTGATACGCTTCCTTACCCTAGGTTTTATGGGAAGGTAACCGAGACAAAAAGAAATACATACGACAACCAAATATGTGTAATAGGATGATCAAATCATTAATCTAACTAGCTATGGGGCAACAAAGCATTGCTAGTGCTCTGTGTTGTCATTAAATGAGTTTTGGGCTTGTTGGGCCCGAGCCCATTTATGTCAGTGGCTATGTTGAACCTAATGGGTCACACACTAACACCTTAATGTCATGATGATATAGCATTAAAGGCATTGGGCCTAATAATAGTTGTTAGCCAAAGATGAAGTTTGGAAGCCCACCTAAGAGGGAGAGGGCGCATGGTATTGTTAATGGGCTTGGATGGTCCAAGACATTACTAATTAATTTAATTACTTAAATTAATTATCAAATATTTGAATTTTGAATTTTGAATTTGAAATTTGAAATTTGAATTTTGAATTTGAATTTTGAATTTGAAATTTGAATTTGAATTTAGAATTTAAATGTTTGAACGTTTGAATTTAAATGTTTCAATTCGAATTTGAATTTGCTATGAAAAGTTGTTTCATAACAAAAGGATAAGATGAGATCTTGTTGGAACAAATCCCTTGTATCAAGAGAAGATCTATGGAGATCCCCAAGGGCTGATTTGGGGCGCCATTTTGGAGGGAGATGATTGTCATCTTGTCAAACCAACAAGCTCCAATCAGATTTGGTTGTTGAGAGAATCAGTGAGCTAGTTGGTTCAAACTTGAATGCAACAGCTCAAATGTATCTGTACCCTTTTTGGGCTGAATAGGGGCGCATGAATTGGTGGTCATATGATGACCATTGGTTCAGAATTTTGACTAGATAAAGACCTAGTCTTATGAGGATGAGAGAATCAGTGAGCTAGTTGGTTCAAACTTGAATGAAACAACTCAAATGTATCTGGACCCTTTTTGGGCTGAATAGGGGCGCATGAATTGGTGGTCATATAATGACCATTGGTTCAGAATTTTGACTAGATAAAGACCTAGTCTTATGAGGATTCAAAGGGGAGGTTGTTGAGATTTTTGAATTGCAACGACTCCACCTTTGTCTCACTCACTTGTGCGCCACTTTCATTATAAGTAAAGTAAAATTCTGATTTGATACACTAGTTCTCTCCCTCTCTTGTGCGCCTAGTTGGTGAGTTCCTCCTTAAGGTTTTTCAAAAGAACCAAGCCAATTCTTCTATATACCATTCCCACTCTTGTGAAGTTTTCATGCTGGAGACTTCACTCTTCTAAACACATATACCTAGCCTCCTTCTTCACCTATTGAGCGCATAGCAAGCCTCTCTGTGGTGGTCAATTGGTGGCATTCAAGAAAGCGTTCTTGCATCTTGACGTGGGTGGTGTGGGTCAACGTTAGAGGGTTTGAACCCTTCAAACCTAACACTGATCGTCTTGGAGTTTTGAACTCACAAACAAAGGTAACATCACATGCCATAAAGCATGATTCTTGATTGCATGTGTAATTCCGCATATGAAAAATTTTGTTTTTCCCTCTCACATGCTACGGCCTTCAAGGCCATTTTACTTTCAAGTGGTATAGAGCCCGGTCGCTTTACCATCGGTGGGTGATGGTATTTTGTTTGTGAAATTAATGTTCTCGCGGTTAAAAGGTCTTTTTGTTAAAGATTAATTCTTTGCATGTGGATTTTTTTTTATGAACATGTTTAATATGATTATGGTGTTCATATATCTACTTGACCTCATGGTTTTGTTTGTTTTGATTCTTTGTGAAAGTTTTCAAAAGAAATATTTCTTTTGAAACGGGAATATGATTCTGCCATGATGTGAATATTCAAATGCATTATTTTCTCCATGATTTTATTTTAATAAAATTTTTGTATATGATGATGTATGGTTCGGCCATATGAGTTATGGTAGAATAAATGGTTTAATTTTTGTGATCTTTGAGAAAGATTTGACAAAGATTTGAATTATGCATAACGATGCAAAATTCGACCATTGGGAGAAAATTGGAAAATTTTTGAATTTTGATTCTTGTTTTGATATTTTAATTGTTAAATTATCAAAATATATGTGAGGAAATATTTATATAATATTTGATATTATGTGCTTGCAAGCTGTTTAAATTTTCAGGTGCAATTTGGAAGGGGATGGTCATGGTGCCCGAAATTCGAATTTCAAATTTTAAATTAATGTGTAATTTTGCTCTATTTTAATTAGAGTTGTAATTTGAATTTTGAATTTTTATTATTTGTCCCTCCAAAGATGTTTTGGAGTTTCTTTAATTATATGTAATTAGAGAATTAGGCTAGTGGCGTATAGACGACGAGGAGCCGATGCTTGAGAAGCAAGATGGACAAATGCACGAGCACCATGACCATCTCAAATAAAACTGTTTTATATGCATGTATGCTTTTATGTTTTGAACGACTAGTATGCATGAATTGGACAAATCGCGTTTGTATGTATTATTATGCATGTCCAATTACGACTAGTGTAATCCGATAGATGTTTGACATAGGATAACGATTAGGATGATAATAATATAAATGCGTTTGGTGAGACCTAATAAACCCCAAATAAAAGGAACCCTTAAA